TCCAGTACATCACAACTGTTAACCACGAAGTGGAAGCGTGTCATGCAGCGCGATTAGCACATCAACGTAGAATTCGCAACAAGCTTACTGCAGGTTCCCTCCGGGACAAAGAGTGGTGGTCAACCATCAAGAGCGCAGCAGGCAAGGGACGTTGCTCTGACATCCCCCTGCTGACCAACCCTGCAGGACAAGAGTTCCACTCTTCTCGTGAGAAAGCCGAGTGCTTTGCAGCGCATTTTGCGAACAAGTGTAGCCTTGGCAATAACGACCTCTGTGCTGCTGACCTGCCTGACCTGCAACGACCTGCCTATGCCACGCTAAAGCACATTCACTTCCGCGCAGCAACGGTCAAACGGCACTTGGCGAACTTGGCTGTAGCAAAAGCAACTGGACCGGATGGCATCTCTGCTCGTGTGCTCAAGATGTGCTCATCTGAACTTGCAGACCCACTGGCAAAGCTCTTCGCCCTCTGCTTCTTAGCCGGTGTGCAACCTGGGGCATGGAAACTTGCCCATGTAGTCCCAGTTCACAAACGGTCCTCCAGATCTTTGGCATCTAACTACCGACCAATATCACTGCTAACGATCATGTCGTAAGTCATGGAGGGCATTGTAAACACGCAACTGGTTAACTACCTAGAGAAGCATGAGGTGTTGCCAAACAGCCAGTTTGGATTCCGACGTGGTAGAGGAACCGCAGATATCTTAATGGCTCTCCAACATGAATGGGTCCACACCATAAGTACTGGCGGTTGTGTCCAGGTCCTCGCCGTGGATATTGCCGGTGCGTTTGACCGGGTATCGCACACAGGAGTGCTGTACAAAGCAAAGCAGGCCGGCGTCGACGGACGCCTGCTTGTATGGCTACAGGACTACCTCACCAACCGAAACATCCGCGTTGTGGTTGGAGGCCAGACGTCAAATGCTCAACCCATCCAGGCTGGTGTCCCCCAAGGCAGCATCCTAGGACCCAGCCTCTTCCTTCTATACACCTGTGACATTGAACAATGTTTAACTCCAGGAACGCAGCTGAGCAGCTTTGGAGACGACACCACACTCTACAGCTTAGTACAGCCAACTGACGATCTCCAACAGTCCACCGCCTCCCTCCAAGAGTCCCTCAACAGTCTTGAGGAGTGGGGCCGCAAGTGGCGTATCTGTTTTGAGCCAGCCAAGACACAGCGCATGACTCTACATTGCAAGCACGTTCCCCCTGCACTCCACCAGTCACCTTTGGAGGTGAAGCACTCCAGGAGACAGATACCCTGAAGCTGCTGGGAGTCATGCTCGACCCTACTCTCTCCTACAGAGCGCACACTCGCAGTGTTGCACTGCGTGCCTCCCAAAGGCTGGGTTTCCTACGAAAGGCAGCACCCATCCTGGACGACCATGGTCGAGTGACGGTCTACAAGGGATTCGTGCGACCCCTACTTGAATATGCCCCACTGGCCTGGTCAAGCGCAGCCGCAACTAACATGGCCCAGCTGGACAAGGTTCAGCAATGTGCCCTGCATTTCCTGGGACCTGGAACCATCCTCCAAAGTCTTCAGCTTCGTCGGATGGTGGCAGCCCTGTCATACTTGTTCAAGCTGCACTACATTCCAGGGCCTCCCCAGGTAAAGGCCATGCTGCCACCAACCAAGCCCCCTGCCGTAGCTAGCATGTGCACACGGCAAAAACGTCAGACGCACCATGCCTTTCAGCTGAAGTGGACACCCCCTCGCACAGCCCCTGACTACCTCCTGCGATCCTTCCCCTTCTTCGCCATCACACCCTGGAACAACCTGCCTGCGGACCTCCTGCTTCACGAGCCTCATTCAAGACGCTTCCAAACCTTCAAGGTCAACGTATGTAAGGATCTAATCCGAAAGAGATGGCTGTGGTCCACACAGTATCTGTGACGATGATATTGAGATTTGAGAGCCATTTAGTATTTACCTCTCTACTACTACTTGCTTGTTATGATTATTGTTCTCTTTCTTCATTTTCCCTTCTGGTTTAGTCATTACACGTATTTATAATTATTATTTGGTGCAATACTAGCGCCCCTTTCTCGCACCAAATTATTATTTTTGCTACCTGACCATGCACCCCCACCCCCTTTTTTTTCGATGCCAGGTTGCAACGCTAACGCCGAGACCCCTGGTCGGTCGAGTTGCTCCCTGTACATCGGCACGTCGTCCCTACATCCCCTGTGTCTTGTCTTGTGTTTGTCTCCACATGTCTCTTTGTAGGGCTGTGTTCCCAATAAAAAAATAAAAAAATAATAGAGGCTATACGGAGAAACAAACTACTTATAGGTTATCGGATAGTGGAAAGTATACAAGGTGAGGTGTGAAAAAAAAATAAACAGGGAGAGAAGACGAAAGAAATTAGAAGAAAAGATGTGAGAGTGTTCTGACGGTGTGAGCTACTACAAAAGGTGAGTGAAATGAAGGCGTGGAAGCAGGTGAATGTGATAGAGTGAGGAACTGTGAGGTGTAGGTGTCTGCGAATGAATACGTGTGTGAATGCTAGGTGAAGAGTCTCAGTTTTGTGACATTTTCTTTCTGAATGCATAGATAAGGATTGTGTTTACGGATGAAAACAGCTTCTAATACCTTAAGTTCACGAAACCTACGAGCACAGCACAAAACAGTGAAGCATGAATCATCATACACTGAGCGGCATTGGCTACTAGACAAGAGGTGTTTCTTAATTGCTGACCCCTTCGTTGTGGTTTCACCTTCAGTCCGGTTATCTTCATCTTGGTTGTCCAACTCACTCTCTTCATCACTGCTCTCACCTTCCTCATCCTCTTCCTCTTCCATCCCGTCCTCTGCACCCAACGACAATCCCACGCTACTGCTCGCTGCCAGTCCATGTCCGGTTGTAGATGCCATTACCAGCGCACGAGTCATGCTCCTTGTTACTGGTCTCCGTACCTTTGTTTGGCCATTTCCTTCAGTCTCACGTACCTGTGTACTTGTAGTACGTTCAACCGGTACTGTAATAGTGTGGTTCTGTTGTAATTTTGCAACTGGCACCTGTTTGCGGGGTCGGCCTCGTCCAGGTCGCTGGGCTTTGGCTCCATCTGACAATAGGGCTTGAAAGTGCTACGTCACAGCATAGCAACAATTTCAAAAATTCGAAAATTGGATCCACTTGGATCCAGTTTTTGTATGGATCCAAGCACATTTCGAGCCGTCTTACTCTCAGCAAGGTGATGTAACCAGTGAAACTGACTGATTTGGCTACTGGGGGGGGGGGGCTTGGTTACAACTGGTGGCGAAATAAAAGTCACACCTGCATGCGACATGAGTGGGTTGCTATGCACCCACATACTTAGGCAATAGCAAAGTCACACCTTAGTGGATCCAAAAATAGAAATCTGATGTCAACTTACTACTCCCTGGCCGTTTTGACGTCATCACTTTCAAGCCCTATAGGTACAATGGTACATGTTGTTTGACGCGTGCGTTCAGGTGCTGAAGGGTTCTTCCTACATATCGGCTATCACTATGCCGACATTCAAAATGATAGATTACATGGCTAATCAGTTGGGTAGAACCCTTCAGCACCTGAACGCATGCGTCAAACAACATGTACCATTGTACCTATTGTCAGATGGAGCCAAAGCCCAGCGACCTGGACGAGGCCATCCCCGCAAACAGGTGCCAGTTGCAAAATTACAACAGAACCACACTATTACAGTACCGGTTGAACGTACTACAAGTACACAGGTACGTGAGACTGAAGGGAATGGCCAAACACAGGTACGGAGACCAGTAACAAGGAGCATGACTCGTGCGCTGGTAATGGCATCTACAACCGGACATGGACTGGCAGCGAGCAGTAGCGTGGGATTGTCGTTGGGTGCAGAGGACGGGATGGAAGAGGAAGAGGATGAGGAAGGTGAGAGCAGTGATGAAGAGAGTGAGTTGGACAACCAAGATGAAGATGACCGGACTGAAGGTGAAACCACAACGAAGGGGTCAGCAATTAAGAAACACCTCTTGTCTAGTAGCCAATGCCGCTCAGTGTATGACGATTCATGCTTCACTGTTTTGTGCCGTGCTCGTAGGTTTCGTGAACTTAAGGTATTAGAAGCTGTTTTCATCCGTAAACACAATCCTAATCTATACATTCAGAAAGAAAATGTCACAAAACTGAGACTCTTCACCTAGCATTCACACACGTATTCATTCGCATAAACCTACACCTCACAGTTCCTCACTGTATCACATTCACCTGCTTCCACGCCTTCATTTCACTCACCTTTTGTAGTAGCTCACACCGTCAGAACACTCTCACATCTTTTCTTCTAATTTCTTTCGTCTTCTCTCCCATTTTAGTTTTTTTTTCACACCTCACCTTGTATACTTCCCACTATCCGATAACCTATAAGTAGTTTGTTTCTCCGTATAGCCTCTATTGTGAGACGATTTTCCCTGATGATAGTCTCAAGAAAATCGATTAGGAACAACCATTTTAGATACATGTATTCTCATTCATCATTTTGTAATGTCCGCTTCACTTATACTATTTATCGCATTAATAAAGTTATTGTCTCCTCGTCGCCTTTTCATTTTCTTTTAGTGATTGGTTTAGCCCAGAGACCGTTTGGAGAGTGTTGTAAAGATCTATGGATCTGCATTCTCGGCATGGCTTAGTACTAGCACATCACCAAAGCTGATGTGAAATATTTCATAAGCATTTTAATTGTGGCGTTTTGAATCGGTGCCGAATGTAGTCGAAATGAAATACCGTAAACTGCCTAATAGTGGCGACGGATTAATGTTTGCGAGAAGAGCGTAGCACGAATATTAACCAGGGTGAAATCAAGCTTCAACAGTGGTGTATGTAGGTGGCCCCGGTGCTTCGCAAACTTTTGCCATCGAAAACTTGTGCTGGTTCTAAGAAATCGCGAAGATTTAGTGACGCGAATATTGGGCGGCTTACAGCAGCTGCTGAAATTGCGCAATCACTGGGTTTGAGGGCGACTCAAAGTATTTACAGTACCTTGTCTAGCCTGCGGATGACAACAGGGGAAGGAGTACGGCTGCCAGCTGACCATGCAGCCATGGCCGTATCTGCAGACCTCCACCTGGACATCGCTCTCCAGTCCGCACAGCGCCGCCGGCACGATCCTGATGTACCCGCCGTTCTGCCGCACGCGGCACTGCAGACGTCGGCTGCGACAGCAGTCGCGACACGTCGACCAATTGTTGCGGTATATTCGCGGGCGGCAATCGTGCTGCAGACAACGTACACACGGTGTAATACACACAGAACATCAAGGGCAAACAAGGCTAATTTGTCGCTTCTCTGAGTTTCATAAAAGGGGGTTTGTCAACTGACAACCGCTCTATTCAGTTGCAATACTGCTTACATAATCATATGGTAATCCCCCCCCCCTCCCCACCCCCCCCCCCCACCCCCACCCCGCCCCGCCCCGCCTACAGATGGTGCATACAACAGTCACCGAATGCCACAGTCAGATTTCAGTAAAACATATTAATATTAATATTTATTCACAATCACGTGGCACTAGCCAATGAAATGGTGATGTGGGCGATAGCCAGCCATGGCGGTAATAGAGTATGTTCGCATGTTTTAAAGTTGTTCTCGGTGAAATCCGACCGGAAGTGTATATTCGGCGTCCTCAACTTGCACGGCCCTTAGGGTATGCAATATAATTATTAGTGTAATATGCCTGCTCCATAATGCTGCACGTAGTATCTTGCCGGTATAAACTCTTCAGGCTGTTGTTCCTTGTTCGTTGTTTGTGATGACAATATAGCCTGCTGCGAGTTATATTGTTGACGAGTGGTTTTGAGAGTACGCGAGTCCTGAGTAGTAGATTTGCTAAACATACAATCAAGAGTCTATAACCCCCCCCCCCCCCAAGAGTGTGCAATTCTGCATATGGGGTCTCCGACGGCGAAAACTCACATCGCGTGTCTAAGATACGTTAGTACTACGTACAAACGAAGGATAGCGTGCGTAATCCGAATACCTGCCAAGATCATGCTGGGGATTTGCATAGCCGCAGTGAGTTTCTGTCAGAGTGCTTTTTTCATTACTCCGCAGCTCGCTAAAAACGGGCTGGTAACGTACAACTGCGACTCTGCACCAAGTGATTTGAGTTTTCGCCGTCGGCGTACCCCATAGAAAGGGTATCAGGAGTTTCACACTCTTGGGGGGTTACATACTCTTGATATACTGTAAATATACAAATTTTCGGCAGCTATTTAATTTCGGCTATATTCGGCACCGACCCAAAAAGCCTAAATTAAAACGCCGATGAAATTTTTCACAGCATCTGTCGCACTATACCATGCCCTCTACCCCACGCCGAAATAAATCGCCGCCGAAATGTCAAAAATCGTGAAGTGCCGAAATTTTGCAGCGCCGACATTTTGTATATTTACAGTAATGGAGTGAACCTGTTCTCTTACGTGTACGTACTGTGTTACATGGTCTGGAGGACTGTGGGCGGATGCTAGCATTGCACCGTGAGTCGGCTACGGTCATGTGAGGTGGGCTAGAACTTGCACAGCGAACACCGCGTGTTAACACTCCGCCTCCACACGTGCGTGAGCAAATCTCATGCCCCCAGCCTTGTGCACGCCAATGTCTGCAAAGACAGGGGAAAGTGAGAGAGAAGGTAATGGAAATAGAGAGAAAGAGAGAGATAAGTTAATGGATAGAGAGGGAGACAGTGAGAGAGAGAGAGAGAGAGAGAGAGAGAGAGAGAGAGAGAGAGATAGAGAGAGAGAGAGAGAGAGAGAGAGAGAGAGAGAGAGAGAGAGAGAGAGAGAGAGAGAGAGAGAGAGAGAGAGAGAGAGAGAGAGAGAGAGAGAGAGAGAGAGAGAGAGAGAGAGAGAGAGAGAGAGAGAAATAGAAAGAGAGAGAGAGAGAGAGAGACACACACACACACACACACACACACACACACACACAGAGAGAGAGAGAGAGAGAGAGAGAGAGAGAGAGAGAGAGAGAGAGAGAGAAAGAGAGAGAGAGAGAGAGAGAGAGAGAGAGAGAGAGAGAGAGAGAGAGAGAGAGAGAGAGAGAGAGAGAGAGAGAGAGAGAGAGAGAGAGAGAGAGAGAGAGAGAGAGAGAGAGAGGGAGAGAGAGAGAGAGAGAGAGAGAGAGAGAGGAGAGAGAGAGAGTGGGAAGGAGGGAGGGAGGGAGAGAGAGAGTGTGAGAGAGAGAGAGAGAGAGAGAGAGAGAGAGAGAGAGAGAGGAGAGGGAGAGAGGGAGAGAGAGAGAGAGTAACTTACATTTATAAAGACAGGTAAGTCTAACAAATGAGGACTGAGACCTCTACAACAGGGTTTTTTTGAAAGCAGGTGCATGATTTAACAAGCAGGTTGTCAGTCTAGATTTTATGCGCAGATGGAGAAAAAATGCGCAGAATTTTTGTAATGAGATGAAAAGCAAGAGATAATAAGAAAAGATGAAATGAAAGCCTGCTTACAACCCCGCCCAGCCTTGCGAACTGGGTATGGTGGATTAAGAACCTGGTTCAACGCTCGAGCAAGCGCTCTCCACTCAAGGTGTTCACTGCAACTGATAGGGACTCATATGGGAAATTATAGAAAAGAAATAATAAGATAAAGAGAATAAATTTCAACGCACCTCGATAAACGGAGCCCCACATACGGTACCTCAGAAAAGTGGATCTTCTGACCAGTGTTTTTGTTGACGTCGCAACCAGATGATGTAGCTGCTTCGCAGAGACGTCTTACTGCACAAATTACAAATAAATTTTATTCTTCGATTACTGGAGAAAACCCAAGCGCTTTCAGAGCCCTCCGAAGAGAGTCCGGGATGAAACCAAGCACACCTACCTCAACCGAAAAAGAAACGACCTGCCACCCGTTTGCTCGGCATTGATCGGCCAGATCCGCATACCGCCTGTCCTTCCGCGAGTTACTGACACTGAATCTGTCCTCAGCACAAACTGTCAACTCCATCCAGAATACAATCCTACGACTCGTAGAGTACAGAACTATATCTGGTCTTAGGGTGGTAAGTGCAACACAGCTAGGGAAAGAAATCTTTGCACTAACTGAGTCAACAAGAAGTTTCCAGTCTGAGGCCGCTGACAGGAGATCAGTCGTAACCAACTTTCGTCTGGGCTGAACGCAAACTGGCTTCTCTCCCGCTTTGCAAAACTAGATGAAGTCAAGCTCATTTGAATTTTCGGTTTGTACGGTGTTTGCAGCAGTGCGGATTCGAATCTCCTCACGCATGTTCCTTACGATGACCCCGAGTATGTTGTCGTGCCTCCAGGTGTAACGTCCCTGGTCCAGCACTACGCGACAAGCGCCAAGCACATGGCGCATAGTACAGGCCCAGGCACGGCACAAACTACAGTACGGATCCACTACGGTGTTTCCCCAACGCCGTAGGTTCGGCGGAGAAGGTAGCACGTCGAGGGTTGATGCGAGAAGAAATTTCAAATCCTTACCAGTACCACCGTACAAAAGGGATTTCCACGAGAGGTCCTGCCACATCACCGATGTCCACTCCAACCACTTGCCTTGCACCTGAAGAGTCTTCAGCCTCAAAATCTGCTCCTGCGCGTTGATCTCCTCAAATATTTGAAGGAGATCCTTCCTCGGGGGTTTGGAATGCTGCTTCGGAGCACGAGCACCCAACCCTGCACGATGACTTGAGGATGACGGTGAACGGAGAGTCCCTGAACCTACTGATGCCTCTGCACACTCCAGCTCTATTGTCGCCGCATACCGCTTTGTCAGCTTCGCATCCTTACTCCGACGCAGAGTGTACAGCGCCCTCATGCGCGCGTCCCCACTCGATCGAAGAATGTGCCATTTGATGGACTGGCACTTTTTCCACACCGTGGGAAGGTAGTGGAGGCGTAAGCCAAAGCGTTTGCAACTGCCAATAAAAAGAATGGCAGAGTTTGCGCATCGAGGTAGGCCTGACCATTTCTTCAGAAATCAGAAAAGAGAGAGAAAGAGAGAGAAAGAAAGAGAGAGAGAGAGAGAGAGAGAGAGAGAGAGAGAGAGAGAGAGAGTGGGAGGGGGAGAGAGAGAGAGAGAGAGATAGAGATAGAGATAGAGATAGAGATAGAGATAGAGATAGAGAGAGAGAGAGAGAGAGAGAGAGAGAGAGAGAGAGAGAGAGAGAGAGAGAGAGAGAGAGAGAGAGAGAGAGAGAGAGAGAGAGAGAGAGAGAGAGAGAGAGAGAGAGAGAGAGAGAGAGGGGCAGAGACACAGAGAGGCACAGAGAGAGACAAATAGAGAGTGAGAGAGAGAGAGTGAGACAGACAGAGAGATAGACAGAGAGACAGACAGAGAGACAGACAGAGAGACAGACAGAGAGAGACGTAGAGACAGAGAGGGAGACGGAGACGGAGAGACAAAGACAGAGGGTAGAAGAGAGTGAGTGGGAGAGACTGACAGACAGACAGAGTGACAGAGAGAGTGAATGACAGATTGGAGAAGAGACAAGAGGGAGAGAAAAAGATAGGGCAACTCTTTATAATATGCTTATGCTGCATAAATTCCACCCTGAAGTGCATATTTGCTGTCGTCAACTTGTTCGGATCTTGACACCTTTGATGGTGATACGAATACTGTTCGGTTCACCCATGTACAATGTACACATACAGTGATGTGATGGGAACTGGTCCAAAGTGCCAGATTTGTACGCTGCGGCGGATGTCTGCACTCACACTTCGGCTTGTGCTGATGGTGATATGAACTGGGCCAGTACAACGATCACCAGGCAAGTGCACAGCATCTCCACTGCTTTATGGGCAGCGGATTGGGTGAGGTAAGGTATGCTCTGATTCCTGCTGCTTGTTTTTTCTTACTCTGTATAGATGTGAGCACAAACATGAGCGCACACACATACACACATTCACGCACACACACACACACACACACACACACACGCACACACACACACACACACACACACACGCACACACACACACACACACACACACACACGCACACACACACACACATGCACGATCAAAGAAAATGCACATGGATCGGTCGGATAGTTGTCGCAAATATGGATGTCACCTTTTTTTGGCATTGCAATTTGGCCCATATTTGGCTTATACTTGAAGTACGAATGACTGCATGTATGGAGTGCGCTCCAAGAACTGTACACACGTACACAGTTGACGAAGATCTTGCATTTTTTTATTCAGTGATGCATACGTCCATATTTGGGTCGACCAGCATTAATTTTTGGGAAATTTCGTCATGGTATCTACAATCTGATTTAGTGGTACAATCCATCAAACATTTGAACAAGGAATGACCACTGTGTAACAATACCTTCAGCCGCAATCCAACAGGCGACCCACCATCAAAAATTAATTTGCACTTTTGCTCACAAATTTAAACTAGCTCTGCATCCTCCTCATCTTAACGTGTATAACTGGTTCCGAATCACAGATGGCTCCCAGACAAGGTGCTCTGTTGCCCTCCCCTTGGCTAAAACGTCCTCCCTTGTACGCTCTCCACTCTTTGTTGATTACTCTGCTTGGCTTGCGCTGCCCGCTACTATGCGCAATACCAGTACCTTGGACGCATTTAAATCTGCTCACTAGATTCACCATCACCTGTCCCTCCCATGCTTTTCTGTCTTGACCATTACTTTTCTCCTTTTCTTCTTTTATTCACCATGGTTGGTTAACACCCACATCTCCTGTACTGGCTGATTTTCTTCTCATGCCATGAGGTGTTGTCTATAACAATAATAATAATTCTGCTCACTATTGCCGGGAATCTTTAGGATTCTCAACTTTGCCACAGTGAACGCGTACTGATACTGTCATTAAAGGCAGTGCCTACAGGCCCTGCACAAGGGCAAATTCATTTTGTGCAATATGAGGTAAGTGTTTGTGTCTGGCACTCCAGTATTATCTCTCATCACATGTCAACGGACCTGTTGCCCTGTCACTCTTCACCTACTCGTATACCCTGACAGTGTCGTCGAACGCACAGAGCCTGAACACCGTGTTTCTATGTCCCGAAAAACTAGTACTGAACACTCTGCAGCTGAACGATGAAATCCGGTCGCGTGAGTCACGTCTGCACACCGCACTGTCCTGTGCGTGTGAACATCCGAGTGTTGGCAGGTCTACTTTCAGCAATTCAGGGCTGTACAGTGCCCGGCCCGTGCTTGACTCAACGTGATCGGATTTCAAACTTTCAGGGCTTTCACGTCACCAGCAAAGTGAACTTGCAGCAGACACGAAATCACTTGCTTGACGACGGTGAGGGGAGTTTCGCGTAAACGCCTTACCTGGCAATTGCTCGCTTCTGTTTTTCTCTTCAACGGACGATTATCGCGTGAGCTAGATATCCACGCGATCGCCTCTCCAAACAATACTCGGCTCTCCACTATTCCGCTACGCAACTGAAGAACAGCTTGGTTCGAGTTTTGACTTGACCTCCGGACAAGAGCTTGGAGATGTTTAGGGAAAGACAGCCTCCTTTACCTATATTTGCAGTACATCGCACTACAGTTACATGTCCATAAATGCAGTTCACTCCTTTTCGTTGCAGTTTGCACCAGGGCCAGAGGGAGTAGTACAATACCTATAATTATTATATATTGTACTACTCCCTGGTTTGCCCGTGGGTGCTCATATGCATACGTATACGTGCACGTTCTTCCTTATATGCACGCACGCCCAGCAGTTCTAGAATTCTGTTCAGAGATCCAACCTATAAACGTCACCTATACCATGGTACGGTACGGAGGCCCTGTTTTCAGCCAATCAGCGCTCGTCTAGCTATGGTCCCTACAAGTAGTTACATAGTTACATTGTACGAGTTGAAAATCAAGTACCGGAACACCTGGGGGGGGGGGGGGGGGATTGGATCGATGGACCACCTTGGTTCAGTTCATTTTTAATATTTCCCGTAGTGAGAGACGCCCCTAAAAGTATCCTCCCCGGTCCAAAGCCCAAACAACGTATGTAATCAAGCACGCTCAGGAGGTCATGATGGCTGAATCTTGCCCGAGCCTGCAGCCCAAGGGCCGTAGGCCCGAGGGCTGCAGGCAAGGGCAAGATTCAGCCATCATGACAGACAGAGCGTGCTTGATTTGATTTCTTACATCGCGAAGCAACATATTAGGGAAGGTCAAAGGTCGAAAGGTCGAAAAATTATTCCCGAAATGACGTCAAACGGTCCGAACATTCCCGAAATGACGTCAAACGGTCCTGAAACTCCCGAAATGACGTCAAACGGTCCTGATGGCCTGATTATGCCCGCGGCGGGAAGATCGCCTATTGGCCATGGCCCCGGCAACGATCACGTGTCATGTAAGAAATCCAAATCACTTTTTTTTTATTCAAACCCTTCCTTTTATGGAATTGTCTCCCACCCACATTTTCTTCGGAATCTTCTGTCCACATTTTCAAGAAAGAGCCGCGCAAACATGCCTGTAAGAATCAGGTCTACATTGCCATTCACAGGCCTGATCACGTATTATGTAGATTATAGCGTCTCTCTCCTCCTGCGCCCTCGTCATTAATTTTGTTGTTATAAAATATAAGAATTGGGACGCAACCAAGAGTTTGCGTTGCTGTGTGGCGGGGGCCAGGGGGAGAACTATTTCTATTTTAGATTTTGTCTCGTACTCAATTGGTGGAGAATTTAAATCATTGTTTTTAAGATAATATATTATTATAGGTTAGTGCATGGCAGGGAAGGCCTTATGGCTTGTTAGTGCCCAACAGGTTAGCCTGAGGGCCATAGGCCTGAGAGCTAACCTGAAGAGTACAAACAAGTCATAAGACTCTCCCTGCCATGCACTAACTATTAGAATGAGTTGAACTCGGGTGGTGAGCCAATATAATTATGATGAAGAAAGGAAAAGGACACGAATTATGACAAACTGTCCACCAACGTAACCAGATCTTATACATGTACAGTCAGCGAGTGCGACAAAATGGCACAAAACTGACAAAACTGACAAAACTGACAAAGGAGTACTGAGACATTCGGCGACCTGACACCTAGCTCCAACACTTCTCCAAGGCGCAAACCAACAACCTTCCAACTTGGAAGGCTCAGGTTCGGAAAGGTCCAAGAGGGGAAGAAAAGCGCAACGAAGAAGAGCATGAGCTACGCGCCACGCAAACAAAGAATGCCGAAAGTTACTGGATGATGACGGAGCAACCTAGTAAGACTATTAGACATACCGGCCTTACTACAACTCGGCGACGCAAGGCAACAGACCACCCAACTTGGGAGGCTCAAGTTTATGTAATAAACATAGAAAGGGGAAGCTAAGCGAAGCTAAGCGAAGACGAATTGTGATCCGAAACGTCAACATCCTACTGAACTCCACTATCATGTATGATGGACTAGTTATGTACAATAACAAGTAGTTCCACACGACGTACGTTTCGCCGTATAGATCTTGACGGCTCAGCAGGTGTGCAAAGTTGAACTCGGATGGCCAGCCAATACGTATTACTAGTACATACACTTGAGCCTCCCAAGTTGGGTGGTCTGATTTTTGACACACCGATCGACTTGTGACGCAACCCTAGTCGGAATCTTACCGTTCCATTCTCCCGCTGAACAGAACTTTCTGTTGTCGAAACGATACCACACCGACGGTATTTTGGGTGACAAGGTAATGAGACATTCAGCGACCTGAGACCTAGCTCTAACACGCCTCCAGTGCGCAAACCAACAGCCTTCCCGCTCACGTTACTTGGAAGGTTTATTCGTTCTCGCACAGCGATAAGCCACACTCGCTACACACCAAACAACAGCACATTTGCAATGCGGTTAGGAGGGCCAGAAGTGTGACACCACGTTCTTTTACATGGAAGGATGCGGAATTGTAGAATAGCGGAAGAAGGGACAGAGCACATGGATATTCTATGAAAGCAACGCAATGGCAGCAACTGAGAGAGCAATGACCGAAAGCCAGAAGCACCACTTGGGACCGTCAGATTAATTCGTCTGGGCCGAGCCAGCCGGGGAAAAAACCCTCGCGCCGACGGACGCAATATTTTTTTGAGGGAAAAAACCGGGTATAAAACCCTTTACTGGAGAGCCTAATGTGACAAGTACAAAAAGCAGGGAGGGTGGGTGGGTACTTCAAGACGAGTGGCCAGTCGTGCTCATGCGCAGCGGTTTAGAGAACATGTGAACATGTACGAGTAAAAAGAAATTGATCAGATGACTGCTCACTTGTGAGAAAAACACAAGAAAAAACCGCTGTGACGAAAAAATACTTCTCGCCTCTGTCGCTGCGCTCTGCCGTCGAGAAGATACCATTTCACAAAGCTTCCCCCTTCCTTTACCTCTGATATTCCTGACCCACCTAATTTGGGTGGTGTGTTGCTTTGCTGCTTCTAATTGTAGTTAGACCGCATTGTCCTGCCTGCTATTAACGGGTCCCGTCATCGTCCCATAACCATGGTAACAGTCGGCATTCTTTGTTGCCGTGGGACTTACCGTATTCCCCGTAAGTTAGTACGTACTAACTTTCGAACTAACTTAGCAGCCACATGCGCACTGGACGTGATCCCCAGCATCACCTGCAAAGGCACCGTAATCCCCGAGTCCAGCCATGTTCTGTACCTTGGCCTCCTATTGGACTCGTCGCTCAGCTTCGAGCAGCAGGTTGAGCGTGTGTGCGCAAAGGCACAGTGCAAGGTTGCCTCATTCCGCCACGGGCGCCGCGATGTCTCCATGACCGGCCGCCGCATGTTTTACCTGACAATTGTCCAGAGTACCTTGGACTATGCCAGCACATGTTATGTTCACTGCTTGTCCGCTAAACTCAGAGACAAACTTGAGTCAACCAGCAATAGGTGCCTAAGGCGAGTGTTTGGCCATGATCAGTATACTTCTATCGATTTCATTCTCACCAAATATAACCTGTATACCTTCTCTCGCCGTGTAAACTTGAAGCTGTTTGTGTTTGTTTTTAGGTGTCTATCTCGTTGCACCAGTCCTCTTTTAAGCACGATATTTACCCCCCGCTCTGCATCATGCCGCACAAATGCTGCTACTCGCGGTCAAGCTTCAGCCGCTCTGAACCTACCCAGAGCTACGTCTCGTTACGGCCTGAATGCTATTTCATTTTTGGCAGCAGACAGATGGAACATGCTTCCACCTGGATGTCGTCAAGCTAAGCCCCTTTCTGCATTTGTCACAAGCACCAAGTCATTCCTAGGGTTCCCAGTAAAAAGGCAACGCCTGTTGGGAGTTCCCTAGTAAAATAATAAATTCTACTACTACTACTACTACTACTACTACTACTACTACTACTACTACTACTACTACTACTACTACTACTACACATGAGTACTAATTTTCGGGGGTGGTACTATCTTTCGGGGAGTACTTTTTTATCGGGGGTAAATAAACCTACACTCGGCAGTAGGCCTAGCCCAAATTTGCCGGCAATGCTTCCAGCAAAATATCGAAATTTCCCACGAAAAGAAATTGCTGGCAAATTCTGAGCAAAATATCGAATTAACAGAGGACCCGGGTGTGTTTTGGCAATTTTATTCAAATTTCTTTGGTTTCACGGGGCCAACGTCGTGCTGAAATAGCTCGTGCAGGTTGTCAGGGGTTCATAAATTTGAAATCATGCTCCAAAATTCGTAATACTGACACCATTATAAGTTTTGCTTTCCTCATCAGAGTCACCATCCACTTTTACCAAAGTATACGGTTCATTCGAAGCAGTTTCTCCCAAAAAGCAGGAGCAAAATGGAGCAAAATATCGGAAACGAAAGGCAATGCCGAGCAAAATATGGAAAGTGATCGGGCAAAATTTGCCGGCAAAATATCGAAGCGCCCCGAGCAAATTTGGGCTAGGCCTACTCGGCAGGAGAAGGAGAAACGCCGGGCGTACGAGCAGCGTATCCGCGACGTGGAACATGCTTCATTTGTGCCAGCTGTGTTTGCCACAACAGGTGGAATGAGTCGCCACTGTACAGCTTTGTATAAGCGTATTGCGTGCTTGCTAGCAGAGAAGAGCAAGGAGCCGTACAGTGTGGTGATGGCATGGGTCCGCTGCCGCCTAAGCTTTGCGCTCCTCCGGGCGAGCGTCATGTGTCTCCGTGGATCCCGCAGCCTCAAGGTCTCCGTCGACTCTACCACCCCTGCTTCTCTTGTTGCTGCGGAGGCAGTGATTCCAGGGCACTAGCTCTTGCAGTGTGACTTGGCATTCGTGTGGTCTAACAGCAATTTTCATTTACACTTTTGTTATTAGTTTGCTTCACACCTTTTATCAGTCATTACGTATGATTTATAATGCAGTGGCAGTACCAGGCGTGGGCCATCCCCTGGATTATCAAAATGGGTGCTTTATCATTTTTCTGTTGTTTTTACAAAAAAATATATATATACTCTTGAGTACAAATGACACGCAGTGGGAAGCCTGCGCAACTCTAGTGTCCATGCATATGATCAAGAGTACATAACCCCCCCCCCGGGGGGTTATGTACTCTTGATATGATGTACTAGTATGTACTGTACGGTGTCTGTACATGTAGGACGGGTACGAACTTAGGCTGTGTTTACATGAGAAATTTCAACCCGGGTCGAGTTCAGCCCGGGTTGAAAGTCTGTACGATAGACAAAAGAGGTGAGCGTTTACATGAAGACAGTTGACCCGGGTCAAATACTGATATGCCGCCAAAAGTCCACTTCTAGAGTCCTGTATGGTCACGTGAATCCGTTCGCGCGAAATTAAAGATTAGAGAGGTTAAGTTACACGTTTTTTGCCCTTTTTCAAAACGCGGTGCAAATCTCACGTTACGTGTAATTTTTAGAGGTTAAGTTACACGTGCGACGTGACGTGAAATTTTGCCTGGCAGGATTCGGGTTTAGTTCGCACAAATATCAAATCTTCCAACAAACTTGATAAATCTCGATAAAATTCCGGAAACTCACACAAATTCGATCGGTATAACCAAGCGAAACTTCCAAAAACTCACGTCATGAACTTACGTGCGGGACAGTCAACTCACGTAAAACACGTCAAATTTTACGTGAGTTTTTTCACTTTTTGACGTAAAAGTTCACGGACGTAAGACTTTTACGTGAAACTTAACCTCTCTATTATTTGCATCTGCAGTGCTGTTCAAACCTGGCGCGAGATACGCACAGAAGTACGTTTGTACGATTTTCTTGACCCGGGTTGATTTCAACCCTCCCCTTGGGGGGAGGGTTGAAATCAACCCGGGGCGAAATTTCAACCCGGGTCAAGCGCAGTGCGTCATGTAAACGCGCCATTCACTTTGTGCACATGGGGGGTTGAAATCTGACCCGGGTCGAACTCAACCCGGGTTGAAACGCTTCATGTAAACACAGCCTTACTATCTTTCGGGGGGAACTGTCTTTCGGGAATTTCGGGGTGATAACCTCGGCAGTGGAAAGTGTATTTTTTATAGGGGGTACTAAGTCATTGGGGAGAGCTAACTTACGTGGAAATACGGTAGCTTGTGCACATTTTCGCCGCACTCACCTTTCCCTCTTCGGTCCGACGTAACCATGCATGAACCTTCCAAGTTGGAAGGCTGTTGGTTTGCGCACTGGAGATGTGTTAGAGCTAGGTCTCAAGTCGCTGATTGTCTCAGTAGCTTGTCAGTTTTGCGTGCTACTAATAACCAGGCCATTTATAATTATCACACTTTCTGACTGTTTATCATCATTCTATTGATCTTGCTACAGTCGTGGATAGTTGCTGCTTAACTCGTTCTCATGTGTTTTCTTCTCCTTTTTACATTAAATGTTATTACTGGCTCAGTATCCGAGTTAAAATACAGAAAAGAGACGAACAAACCTAGAATAACGTTGACAAATCTACAGACCAAATGATAGCGATTGGAGGAGAGGAAATCACACAAGACAGACATCCAGTAACGAACAAAAGTATCCTAACAACTATCAAAAGCCTCGCTAGTGTAATGAGGGTCCGAAGAACTCCGAACCAGGGCAAAACTCCATACCGTTCAAATGGTGGCAAGACCGGGACTCTGCCAGCCGATGATGATCGTAGCCAGGAGCACGGTTTTGAACACAGTGCGTCATCTCTATTATCTCCTCCGCCTGGTAACCATGGTAACATGCTGTCAACCGATCAACATGTTTTAGCCTATCAAACAAGGCTTCGTTTTAACTCGGATTCTGGGCTAGTAATAAATGTTTTTAAAAAAAGAGGAGAAGAAAACACATGAGAACGAGTTATGCAGCAACTACCCCCGACTGTTTATCATCTTGTTACAGTCGTGGATAGCTGCTGCATAACTCGTTCTCATGTGTTTTCTTCTCTTTTAAACAAGACTTACATAATGAAACTAGTCTCGTCTAGTAGCTGAGGACCACATTACAGAGCATACACAAAAGAGATAAAGACCGAGACAAGGACAGAGATGAAGACCGAGATAAAGGCACAGAGAAAGACAAGGGAAAAGACGGTGAGTCAGCTAGTCCCTGAGAACTGAAATATACTTGAGATATAAAAATAATTGCACAGCATAGTGAATGACATTGAAACAAACTTCGCTTTCGAAACATAACGGAACAATATTGACTCACTATGCTGACTGGCTGCCGAGAGAGCAAGAGGCTTTCCTCACAGTTGAATATGTACTTGATTTCTGATCAAAAGGAGAATATTCGCTTGCAGTTCCACAGCGGTATTGTGAGGTAATTGTAGAATGGTAGTGTTTGTAGAAAGTAAAAAAACTTTACATGTACAGATTTCTATAGTGTACTGATTTCTAGATTGCACTATTGCATGGCTCAAGTTTCTGTTAGTCTCACCTGAAGACGTGCTGTCAAAGAAATTTTCACAGTAAAGAAATCATTCTGCATGCGATGGTACTGTAGCAGTGAGAATCAGGGAGTTGTAAAATACCGGTATTTTACGACTCCCTGATAAGAAGTAATTATTATGTGCACGACATCATTTGACTTTTACGACCAATAATAATTATTGTTCTTCATGTCGTGGCCCTATGTGATAACAGTGAGACCTAAGCACGTGCCGACACTTTGACTCTAAAACCTGGTGCTGATGTCATTAGGGAGTTGGCGAGTCATTGTGGCCTATGAGAAGCAGCCGTGTGTATAGTAAGCACTACCTGTGTACTGCATGGTCTGCATCGCAATTGTTTTTCCAGCAAGCTAGTGACTTGTTCTGGCTATGCCAGTAGTATCATTGCCATGGCGATACCGGTCATGGCAACCAGTAGCTGACTAATTGGCCGTGTGCAGCCGGCCTCCGAAGACGTCTTAGCACCATCCTTGCCTGAAAGCTTCTTTCCACCATTGACACGATCGACTGCGTCCAGTGAAGATTTTGATGTGGTGAAGGGGACCACTTCCGTCTTCGGTATGAGCGGGTACTTGCCGAGCCCTACCACCACAGTCTTGCTGCTCTCGACGGGATCCGTGGGGTCAGCGTCCTCAATGTCTGGAACGTGAATGGCTTCTGTCGCTGGTTCTGTCGTCGGTGGTGTGGTTGGCTCTGCTGTAGCTGTGAATACAGAATGAAATACAACCAAACAGTTCAGACTCAGCGGAGGACGTTCTGGTTGGTTCAATTTGTTTATGCCTGTGGCTCTTTGTGTTTATAAGCATACTGCTGGGTTGATCCGAGTATCAGTTGTCTGATGATTGCCTAGAGGCTTGAAACTCAGAGTTACAACCAACCAGAACGTCCTCCGCTGAGTCTGCTATGTACTAGGCTCTGTCTCTGACGTTGAGCACTCTCTGCAGCTCGGGGATCAACGGATTTGACCAAACAGTTCAGTAATGTTATAAAGTAACCTGGACATACCATACCATGAGCTTTTTGAAATGCAATACATGAATTGGTCAGCAATATCCGCAGAAGGAATACCAGTGTTTGTGAGGGGAGGGGGGGGGGGGTCAAAGGAAGTCTCCATGGCGTTGAGCAATATATGGGTGCGAGTGGATGTTTGTGTGTGTACATGTGTGTGTTTGTGTGTGTGTGTGTGTGTGTGTGTGTGTGTGTGTGTGTGTGTGTGTGTGTGTGCCAGCTAGTTCGGTTGGTGGGTGCACTTATGCCAGATAGTGTTGGGCCTGTTGCCAACGGGCTCGGCTGCTTGAAGGTGTATTGTTGTACCTACCACCTTTGTTGGTTTCAGGGTTCATATACTTTCTGTTTGAAGTATACATACCTGTTAACCATGGACTGCTTCTGGCTAGATTAATTCTTGTGTGATCAATGGTGCTAGTGAAGCTTATATCAGATCCACTCTGATTTAGCCACCCACACTAGTACCAAGTATTACCTTCACTGGGGGCAGGGGTACCTGCAGTTGGATCCCGGGACGGATACCCTGATGCCGTCAATCCTTTTTCTGCACCTTGTCCTCACCCACTTACTGAGGTGTGGTGAGCCCATAAGTGGGATCATTTCAAGTCCACCCTAGTTTGGGGATTTCAGGGGGTGTCGGCCGTTGGGTGGTTCAATGGCCAATTGAGTCATCTTTCCAAGATTTCTTTTGAGTCTCTCTCCCCTCTCCCGTGGAGACCCACGTGACCAGTTTTGGCAGTGAGCAAGTACAAGTGTGTGTGTGCGTGTGTGCATGTGTGTGCGTGTGTGTGCGTGTGTGTGTGCGTGTGTGTGTGTGTGTGTGTGTGTGTGTGTGTGTGGTGTGTGTGTGTGTGTGGTGGGTGTGTGGTGTGTGGTGTGTGTGTGTGTGTGTGTGTGTGTGTGTGTGCGTGCGTGCGTGCGCATGCATATATGTGTGTGTGTGTGTGTGTGTGTGTGTGTGTGTGTGTGTGTGTGTGTGTGTGTGTGTGTGTGTGTGTGTGTGTGTGCGTGTGTGTGTGTGTTGCTATGTCTAACATAGCTGTTCGCTATCATCGCTTCCTCGATGGGCATGTCTGAGGTCTGAGGTGTGTGTGTGTGTGTGTGTGTGGGTGTGGGCATGCATATGTGTGTGTGTGTGTGTGTGTGTGTGTGTGTGTGTGTGTGTGTGTGTGTGTGTGTGTGTGTGTGTGTGTGTGTGTGTGAGAGAGAGAGAGAGAGAGAGAGAGAGAGAGAGAGAGAGAGAGAGAGAGAGAGAGAGAGGGAGAGAGAGAGACACACACACACAGAGACACACACACAGATAGACAGACAGACAGACAAAGTTTGGGGCGGGAGGTTCTCCTGCAACAACCCACACTCACGTGGTTGGCACGTGGCATCCGCTATGCACGCTGCCGGCTGTGGAATCTTCAAGTTGCCCACATACTGCAGCTTGTGACAGATCCAGTCGGGCAGGATCTTGTCAGTCTCATCCACGCATGCATAGCCTGTACACGAAAGCAGAATGCATTCACAACACAAAAACAGACAGGTTTCAGGCTGCGCTCATTGCCCGGGGGCAAGAACTGTTTTGTGACTCAGGGTTTCCACGCACAAATGGGCAACCATCCGACATCAATATGAGAAACAAGCAACACGTTCTTCCTCCTCTCCTCCTTGCATGCACAATGTAGCAGCACATGACACAACATTCCGCATTTTCCGGAGTTGAAGACGCAATATAAACACCAGTAATTCACCCCAAAAAAGGTCGGTGTAGGTATATACTACGATGGTCAAATTAAGGGTGATAAACAGGGTTGATGTCTGTATTCCGCGACAACACAAATATGGGTGCGGCTCCGGAAAAAAAACTTCCTCTTTAAGGCAGTATGAGAGCACAGATATCAGGGTACGTGCATTGTGGAATCTTGCAATTCTGGATGCTCGTGTATCATATGCAGGGCCGGCGCCACTGGTACGGCCGATACGGCCATGAAAGCCGGTCCACGTGGAACGTCCAAAACCGGGGAGAAAAAGTTTCGATGTGTGATTTTGTACAGGGAGTCGCCCAGAATTTGCCATCTTAATTCCAAAAAAATTCTGGGGACGACCGCAGACCCCCCTTAAACATGGCCCTTCGGCCGCACCGCAAAAGCTGCCTCCAGCCCTGATATGTGCACACTCTCGAGGAAGAATGACTGGGGTGATAACAGTACACGAGCTTTTGATTGCACGCCTAGTGCCCAAATTTCAAATAATTATCTTGATGGCATAACTCAAAAATGTCCAATAAAGTGTAAATCTGTATGCGCCCGCGCTTAGTATGCTTCGGACATGTCATCCGGGAGAGGAAGGATTCTGTGTCCTACAAAGTCCATTGGATGGAAATAAGGGCAGCAGACATTCAGAAGCGCAGATGTCCCCCGGCCGGACGAGATGGGTAAACAACATGAGGAGTGATCTTTTACTTCTCAAAATGAGTCTTTTGGTAGCGGAGCAGTTTGCCTCAGAAAAAATGCACTTGCTCGACGTCGTTGACAAATGCATGACCCTCATTGTATATTTTCCATATGAGCTCTATATGTTTCCTAAGACCTCTCCAACTCCAGCACAGTCTTTTCCTTCCACTTGTAACCATTTCAATTCTCCGAATAGGCTCTCAGCTGAACAAAATGAATGACAGGATTGCTAATATTTCACCCATTGGGCACCATCAGGCCATTGAGGGGATGTACCATGATGATGCCCAAATGGGCGAAGTATTCGCAATCCTGTCATCCTATTCATTTTGTGCAGCTGAGAGCCTGTTTGGCCGGGGAAAGGAAGTGTTAAGGAGGCTCCGGCTCCAACCCATTGGGGGCGGGGGTTCTTCATGAATCCCCATCCTTGCCCTGTGTTTTGCGCTTATCGGCAAAAACAACCCTGCAAAGAAGGGCCAGAGCAGCTGCGCAGCGCAGAAGGTTGGAGCCTCCATAAGAAGTAAAATCTTTTCAGTTTTGTCAATATGGCTCCTGTACTTGCTTACCTTGTGCGGCGCTGGCATGGCAACAAGGGAATGCATGTGATTTCCAGATCACCCAGCAGCCAGGACCATGACGGCAGACATCACGCTCAACTTTGTCCCGCACACCGCACATGGAGAGCGGCACGATGCGATTGTAGCCGTTGTTCTGACGCACACGACACTCCACTGTTCGGTTGCGAAAGCAGTCGACGCACGTAGACCACGCGTGGCGGAATATCCGCGGAGGGCAGTCTTGCTGGACATACAATGGGAACATAAACCAGATAATAATCCCGTGTACAAGGTCTCTAGCCTCGTTAGTAGACAACCCGGGGGGGGGGGGGGGGGGTTCAAAAGTGTTGTCTTTTAACGAGTATTATTGTTGACCAGTGGTACTTCAGTCGTCCTCTTTCCCTGACTATTAGTAGGGCTGTGTTTCTTAGGAAAAAAAGGAAAAAATTATCTATGTCGTACATGTACCATCCAGGCTTGCCTGTACGCGTTTCAGGCATCAGAAGATGTAGGATCATTGTCTACTTAGGGGCCATTCGTAAATTTAGATATTTATTTAGAAACGAAAACTAGTCGTTTAGGTGGGAGGGGGTTGAGCGCCTGTTCGCTTCTCGAAAAATATCGATGTACATTCTGCATGTTTGAGTATGTCCAGAAAAAAGACCAAAAATATCGATACTGTGTATCATTTGTATGTGTTTGTTTCTCAGGGAGGGGGGGGGGAGGGGGGTTGAAGAGAAACGACTGGTTTTCGTTTCTAAATAAATATCGGTATTTACGGAAGGCCCCTAATGAGGTTTGTCTTCTAACCAATGTCGTATTAACGAGGGTAGACCTGTACGTGGAAATGTGGGAATGTGCTAAACATGATGTTGAGGCCTGATGGCATCAGCTCTTTCATACCGACAATCATTACAGCAAGAAGTAGGATGAAAAGTACGCACGAAGCATCTTCCGGGCATTATGTTGTTCTTTGTAATGGAGGTTTTCCCCTGAAAATCAATAGCAATCCAGAGGTCAGTCAGGGATGTGTATGTGTGTGTGGAGGGGGCGATCTCCCAAGAGTGGTGCATGTACCGAACTGTGTTCGCAGATCTCACATGTTCATGAGTACAGTAGTACGCATGAACATGTGACATTGCACTAAAAAGATATGGGAGCAGGGGCGTCGGGAGGTATTTTAGTGTGGTACGCTCAGACATCTGAAGTACAATTTATTCGTGGGGGAGGGGTGGCCGAGACGAAAATTTGGCCGAGACGAAAATTTGGCAATTTAGAGCCCAAATCAGTGTCTTTTATAGGTTCCCGGGGCAAAATGTGGTACGGTCAATACCGTAGTGACCGTACCGTGTCCGACGCCCCTGGGAAGTCCAGTAGGGGGTGATGAGCTGTCCCTGGGACAGGAAAACGAGCCAGATCAGGGTAACCTACCCAGCCCAGGGCCGGAGGAAGGAGTTTGGGAGTGGCCCGGCCAACCTTTGAGGGGGGGTGCGGGGGACCTCCCCCGGGAGAAATATTTAAAATTTACGTGAAATAGGGCGAATTTGGGCGTCTCTCAAGGCTCCAGAAAATGCAGAAAATTATAGTAAAAGAACACAAACACAACTTTTTTTAACCATAATATGGTTAAAAAAAGTTGTGTTTGTGTTCTTTTATGATTAAAGCCATACAGTGCCGGTCACGGAGTCCTGAGCTACTTCGAAGCACATCACACGTCGGCAGTACAGTCGAGTCGTGTACCTCTGAATTTTTTACACCGGTTTTGCACGAATCACATGGACCATCCAGCTGGGAAAGTGGTCCGGCCATGGCCGGACCAGCCTGACCGGTTCCGCCGGCCCTGCAGCCATTTCCTGACAAGTGTGCAGGCACCGACCAAACCAAATGAGCACGAATATCACAAATGTACCACTAAAAACATCTTGGGCATCTTCATGCCTTTGTTTGTTTCCTTTCTAGTGTTTTCTTCTGGCTACCAACCCCTTGATTTTGGTGCCATTGCCTTCGGCTTATCCATATCATTATTCAATGATGAAAATAAAATGGGATGCCTCTAAAGTCAACATCTTCATGATGATTGATGAAGTAGAGTTGGTGCAGTAAGATAATTTTCTCGAGGGCAAAGAGGTCAGAAAACACGTACCCGGTTGCAATCTTTGAACGCTGGCGGTCTCGGACCGAGGTGTGCGCAATCCTTGTCGGGCAAGGTCTTGCCGCTTTTTGTGGCACAGCGGGTGGTGCGCATCTGCACTCCTCCACCGCATGTCTGCGTGCAATCCGTGTGGAAACTACCGGCGCGCCATTCCCTGCATGGTGACAGATGGCATGCACACAGATACGCACAAATAATACACAGATACTGATTGTGTAATAGGTGTATGTATGCTACGACCTGAATACTCACTATTTGTATTTCCCGCTCGTTCCCCTTGGCAATGAGCACTCACATAGAAGAGCGCATGCTCCAGTTCTGTTCTAGTCTAGTCTTGAGTTGTCGTTGTCCTGTTCTCCTTGTCTACACTCTTCTCGAATACTTCTATAAATTATCCAATCATATAAAACCCCTGTGTTCCGGTGTGAGGGGGCATCATTAGCCGGGAGCAGCTAACACTGGTGGCAGCGGAAAACGTCCACCACTACATCGCTGGCGAAGTATGTACGCCTTCGGAGATCGCCGACTATGAAGAACCACGAAGGCCCACGCAAGTGAAACCATATCCTCATCCACTCTCTTCGTCAATATTTTCCTTTCTGCATTGTGTTTCTTTCTGCTCGTCGTTTTCTTGTTGCATGCATTGTTTACCATGGTTTACAGTCCATAGGTCAAGCATTGGCGCCAACCTGTCTGGCCAAACATTTTCGGAACATTTTCTGTGTCCGTGTTTTGTGCATACTGGCTGCTGTCTAGTGTCTTGTTAGGATATCTGCTAGCTGGGTAGTAGAGTCTAGCTACACTGTGTCCGTAGAGTAGTTGCCTATTTGGAATTGTCTCTGCCAAATTTAGTTGTTTGCCGCTACGCACAATAGGTTACGTAATAGATTTAGAATTAGATCGATAGTTGATCGAGGCGTCGATCGAGTCCACGGGAAATTTTTGCAGATAAATTTTTTTTTTCGAAAATTCAAAAATACAAAAACAATTTTTTTTCACAATGGGCCGTTCAGCGAAATCCAAGAGACAAGAAAAGCTAGAGCGTAGCTTCGCTGAAGCTGGCTGTGACATGAACATTGCTGAAGAGCGCGAGAGTTCGCCGGTACAAGGGTTGTCCCATCGTTTTCGTTTGTCGGACACAGACACACCACATGCACGTCCACTGCCGAAGCCAGTTTTGCTTCCTGAGACATTCGGAAATCAGCCAGGCCAAGATTTCACTACGTACATGAGGCATTTCGTCCACACATGCGAGCTGAGTGGGTACGACGACGAACAAAAGCTACGGCTACTACCTGCTCGCCTTGTTGGTACAGCTCATGAGATGTTCACCGAAATTCTAACTCACACGCCTGACATGAACTTTTCCGACACAGTCGAGGCTCTGCATGTCCGTCTTGAGCCGCCCCAGCAAGCATTGATGCACGAGGCCAGTCTTCGCCAGCGAGTGAAGCTGGCGAGTGAAACTCAGCACGGGTATGCCACGGAACTTCGTCGGCTCGCTCGTCGAGCCTACCCAGGACAACAAGGTGCACTGCTTGATTCAATGCTTTTGCAACTTTTTATTGATGGCCAGGCACCGAAGGATTTGCGCTTGGCGTTGGCGTCACCTCGGCCCACTGATTTGGATGCGGCGGTCCAAAAGGCCATCGAGATAGGTGCTATTTATGCTCGCGAGCAGGCGCGCACCGTACCTCACCAGTACGCACAGCCCGTATTTGCTGCTGCTCCGGAAGTGAAGCCGCGTCATGGTCGTGACCCCTACACAGCAGTCGGTCCACTGAAATCGGAATCTGAGCGAGACCAGTTGGCTTCGCTTTTGTCGAGTTTTGATTCGCGTCTCTCTGCTTTGGAGGCGAAAATGGAGAGCGTGAGTCTGTATCGCCCCACCCGACCCCAGCAAGACCATGTACGTTTTGTTGCTCGTGGTGCTGGTGCTGGTGCGCCTAGTCGTGGTCGTGGCCAGAGTTTTGCGAGGCCTGTCCGTGGAGTGTGCCATGGATGTGGTGAAGAGGGCCACTTCATTGCATCTTGCCCGCACGCAAAAAACTAGGTTGGACTGGTGACACGGGGCCGCCGTCAGTCGTCCGAGTGGAGCCCCTCGAGGAGGTATGTGGTGCGATCGCACCCATTATTGTGCACGTTGATGTTTGTCTTTCGTCTTCGTCTCCTGTTGTTGCTCTTGTTGATTCTGGTTCAAGTGTGTCGTTAGTGCATTCTAAATTGTTGCCTAATTTGACAGAGCGACCTCCTCTAGAGTCTGCTCCGCGGTTGTGTGCAGTCAATGGCGCACAACTTCCTGTCGTTGGATCCATGGATCTGTGTATATCGCTAGGAAATTTGTCTTTCCAGCACACAGTTGTAGTCTCACCTGGTATTCACTGCGACATGATTCTTGGTTCCGATTTTTTGTTGCAGCATGGTGGTGTATTAGATATTGCTCGTGGTGTTGTGATGTTTGGCGATGTGTCTGTTCCGTTGCATGTTTCTGGTTCTGGGTGTCCTCCGTCACGTACGCCCTATGATCGTATTGTTCCGCGTAATACTTCCCCCTCATGTAATACTCATACTCCTCATTCTGATGCATGCTCCGACGATGTACCTGTTTCGTCGTATTCTTCTCGTGTTGCCCTTGACGATGAGCTGTCTGTGCCTGCTGGCCATGTTGTGCTAGTACCATGTGTCTATGTGGATGCTTGTTCGGAAACTCTGGATTGTGTTGCTGATCCACTAGAGTCGTTTGTGGATAAGTTTCCTACGTTGTCGGTGACACCTGCACTTGTAACAGTGGGTCCCGATCACTCACACATTGTCATGACAATTGAGAATCACGCTGAGCATAATATTATTATACATAAAAACACCAATATTGCCGAACTGTCTCCTCTCATTATGGATGATGATGATGATGATGAAGATGACGCCGCGGTTTCATCCGTCACCACTGATCACACACCTGAACTCACAGAACAGCGCAAGGCTACCATTAATGAATACGTTAAATCACAACAAAACCTCTCATCCGAAACCAAAAGCATGCTCACCACACTCCTCATTGATAATCACGACCTATTTATATTGCATGAAGACGACTATGGCTATTGTGACATATTTCCGCATAAAATTGATACAAGCACACATACTCCTATTAAACAAGCAGCTCGGCGCATTCCGTATCACCGTCGCGTTGCTCTGCAGACGTTATTGGATGAGTTACTAGAGAAGGGTATCATCCAAGAGTCTATCAGTCCGTGGGCGTCTCCGATCGTGTTGGTTCCTAAGAAGAACGGTTCCTTACGACTTTGCGTCGACTATCGCAAGTTAAACGGTGTCACAAAGCCGGACGCCTACCCGATTCCACGGGTAGATGACATGCTCGATTCGCTGTCTGGTTGTAAGTGGTTTTCGTCGCTCGATCTCGCGTCTGGGTATTGGCAGATTGCGATGGATCCTGACGACCGAGCGAAGACCGCGTTTACAACACCATTGGGCCTGTATGAGTTTACAGTGCTGCCGATGGGGTGCAGGAATGGTCCTGCCACCTTCCAGCGAGTTATGGAAGCTGTTCTTCGTGGGCTGTGTAATGCTGCGGCTCAGCCATTTTGTCGTGTCTTCTTTGACGATGTTTTAAATGCGAGTGAAACATTGTCTGGCCAGGTATTGATTTTGTCGCGAGTCTTTGAGCGTGTGCGTTCAGCAGGCCTGCGTTTTAACTTGGCGAAGTGTTCCTTTTTCCGGTCGGACGTCGCGTTCCTCGGGCACCGCGTGTCGGCAGACGGAATTGCCCCCGATCCGGACAAGGTTTCCGCGATACTTGCGTGGAAGACGCCGAAGTCTGTCACTGCGGTCAGGTCATTCCTCGGTTTCGCGGGATATTACCGTCGATTCATCCGTGGATTTGCACAGCGGTCAGCCCCGCTGACGGCTCTCACTGGCAAGAATGCGCAATTTGTTTGGTCGAAAGCTTGCGACGCTTCCTTCCGCGCCCTGAAGTCTGCGCTGTCAAGTGCTCCGGTTATGGCATTCCCGGACTTCGGACCAGATGCCGGTCCCTTCCTTCTGGACACAGATGCCTCGAAAGTGTCCATTGGTGGTGTCCTGAGCCAGGTGCAGGACCAGGTGGAACGCCCCATTGCGTTTGGTGGGCGCATAATGTCGAAAGCGGAGCGTAATTATGACGCCAGTGATCGCGAAGCCCTGGCCCTTGTCTTTTTCGCCAACCACTTCCGGCATTATCTGCTTGGTCGCGAATTCACTGCAAGGACAGACAATACCGCGTTAACTGCGTTGCGGGCAACCAAGGAGCCCCGTGGTCGCAAAGCTCGATGGATTGAGGCTTTGGCCGAATTCGAGTTTGCTGTTGTGCACCGCCCTGGTTCTCGACACAGGAATGCCGATGCTATGTCCCGCGTGCTGACCGATGTGCCGTCTCCTCCGCCGAGTCCGCCGCCTCTTGCCCGTGATGTTCCGTTGTCAGCTGCTGATGAAATGCCACTTGCTGCTGATGTTCCTCCGGCTGCCGAGATTCTTCCTCCGGCCGTTTTTGTTCGTCCTCCTGGTGCCTCTGCTGCTGGACCGTTGCCGGATTGTTACAAGCCTCAGAGTCTTCTTGCTCCGTATGCTGATCCTGCTCTGTCTAAGTGTTTCACCAGATATGATGCTGCCAGTGGCAAGTTTGTTCGACCGCCTGAAGCCGTTTCCCGTCCTCCCGACTGTCAACCGCCTGCCGTTACTGCTTCTCGTCCTGACCCGATTACGCTGTCCGATGATGATTTTCCGCCGCTACAGCCGCCGTCGTCTGATCCGGTCCGTACTTCTTCTCCTGTTCCGCGTCGTTCTGGCCGTGTCCGCACTGCACCTGCTCGACTAGCTGACTATGTCCTGGACTGAGTTTATTATTTGGTTTGTTTTCTTTTGTTGTTTCCTAGGTATTTCGTTCATTCCCGTGGACGTGAATTTTAGCTAGGGGGGCACAGTGTAATAGGTGTATGTATGCTACGACCTGAATACTCACTATTTGTATTTCCCGCTCGTTCCCCTTGGCAATGAGCACTCACATAGAAGAGCGCATGCTCCAGTTCTGTTCTAGTCTAGTCTTGAGTTGTCGTTGTCCTGTTCTCCTTGTCTACACTCTTCTCGAATCTTTACTTATAAAAGAGAGGCACCTGTGACGTGTGTCTGTGTGTGTGTGTGTGTGTGTGTCACGCTCCTTATAAAGAAGAGGCACCTGTGACGTGTGTTTTTGTGTCACGCTGAAGCGCTGCGGAGCAGCGCTGCCCTGAGCACGCGAAGCGTGCGAACAGTGTAGCACAGTGTAGCTAGCGGCCGCAGAAGCACTGAGCACGCGAAGCGTGCGAATCGTGTAGCTAGCGGAAGCAGCCACAGAAGCACTGAGCACGCGAAGCGTTCGAATCGTGTAGCCACCACCACGTGCTGAGCACGCGAAGCGTGCGAACAGTGTAGGCACGGTGGTACATGTTAGCGCTTATACATAGCAGACACGATCAGTACGAGTAGCAGTAGCAGCCGCGCGCAGAAGCACTGAGCACGCGAAGCGTGCGAATCATGTAGCCACCTAGCCTAGGCCATAGGCATAGGTAGCACTAGCAGCCGCACAAGCGCTGCGGACCACGTGAACCGTTCTCTGCAAATAGAAACATCTGCAACAAAAGGATACAAAAGATCTGCACTGACTGCACTCTGCATCTGATCTGCAGTGAAGAGCGCATCGCACTTTTGTTCGTAAGTTTATGAATTTTTTGAGCCGCTTCATCCGCCACCAGGTACCGGTGATGGACAACCCTGACCAGCCTCCCGAAGGCGTAACAGACGTCCCCCCTTCTCCTTCCAACGATGAAGAACCTCCCTCACCAGGACTTCAGCGGTCTGGCCACCACCACGTGCTGAGCACGTGTGCTGTTCATGTACTTGCTTCACCCGCATGCCACATTCGGCCAGGCAACGCTGGCGGGGGTGCTGCTAGTACTTCTATAAATTATCCAATCATATAAAACCCCTGTGTTCCGGTGTGAGGGGGCATCATTAGCCGGGAGCAGCTAACAATTGTGCTCATATAGCCCACAGATTGCAGACATCTACAAGTAATAACGGGGGTGGGGGTGTGGGTTTGAAATCTTTGAAATCTTTTATTCTCACGATGGCCTGTGGCCAATAAGAGAATTAAAATGATTGATTCTAACAGTGTGGACTTAAGACTTACACGTTCAATTGTATGTACCGTGTGCATGCAGGCATAAACGCACGTACATACACACACACACACACACACGCATGCGCACGCACGTACAAAAACACACACACGCCCGCGTGCACGCACGCACACACACACACGCACAAATACACGCACACACACGTACACACACACACACAGGCACACACACATTCACACACGCACACGCGCACACGCGCGCACTCGCGCACACGCACACGCGCGCACTCGCGCACGCACACACACAGACACACACACACACACACACACACACACACACCGAGGGGTGTTCAGAATAAGCAAGCCTCTACTGTACAAACAAAATTTGGGGGCAGTTCAGACATCTACAAATGCACAAACCGTCCGGAACTTACGGCTGTGCTGAGCATGGTGTTGCTGCAATCAGCAATATCACTGTGGACAGTGCCCATAGAATCTCTCCGGTGAACATGGACATTTCGTTGAGATGGGATGTGTGTCACCTGAAAAAGAACTTTTCTCTATCTTTCGTTCAGTTTCTCCTTCCAAATTGGCAATGTTAGCCAGGTCTGTACAAACAAGATATACACACAAGCGCATGCCCAATATACAAACGCAGACGAATAGAGAGACAGACAGACAGAATGTCACTATTGCATGGGTTAAAGCACCACCCCACAGCTCTAACCTCCCACCCAGGCGGCCTCATGACTCTCAGTGACATTCCTAAAGGGGAAGGCGAAAATGCGGGACTCCCTATGCCCAGCTAGCTGCTTTTCATCTGATTTCACTTTTCGCCGAGACTGGACCATTCGAAGTACAGCACGGCTCGATGAAATCTGATCGCGTAAATCGAGTTTGTGCAGGCCTGCACCGTTCTGCATCCCACTGAGTGTCAGCAGGTGTAGGGCTGCAGAGCTCCTGCCCCTCTCTGGACTCGCTCGATCGGATTTCATTGTGCAGAACTGCACTATTGGCACGTACCGTGTTCTTGGGTTTATTCCCACACCACGTAGACTGCCAGTACCCATAGCAGAATCCAGGGATACACCTCAAGACAGCCGGAAGCAGTTTTTGATTGGTCTGGCAGTATCATCGTGACCGTTCATACAGTTTGTGTATGATATCATTGTCATTTTGATATGGCGGGTACACATGCCCTCCACAGTAGGAAACACGTGTTGATGGCTGAAAAGTTGGTCCGGTAATGACCTGACTAACCGGATCGATTCCGGCAGGCCTGCGCATACCACACACACTTTTGACTCTCTCTCTCTCTCCCTCTCCCTTTTTCTCTCTCTCTCTCTCTCTCCCTTTCTCTCTCTCTGTCTCTCTGTCTCTCTCTCTCTCTCTCTCTCTCTCTCTCTCTCTCTCTCTCTCTCTCTCTCTCTCTCTCTCTCTCTCTCTCTCTGTCTCTCTCTCTCTCTCTCTCGGACCCACAGATTAGCAGTAATACTCTACGTGTACTGGTATGTTTAGCACTCCTGTCCTGCACATTCTCCTCAGACTAGTGCTGAGTCACAGGTTAACAATGATGCGTCTAGGGCTGGTGCTCTTGACATTCCCAGACCCACAGGTTAACAGGCAGACTGTATGTTAAGCACTTGCATCCTTCACATTCTCAGACTCACTTAATTCAACAGTGATAGTGTCTGTTTAGCACTCGTATCCTTGACATTCTCAGGCTCTCAGGTTACAGTACTGCATGTTTAGCACTCGTATCCTTCACATTCTCAAACTCATACGTCTAGCACTCCTATCCTTGGCATTCCCAGACTCACTGGTTAACAATAATACGGTATCAGTCTGCTGCAATATGTTTAGCCCACATACCGGTATCCGTGACCGTTCCAGCCACACATGTTAATTTTAAACTTGTGATGCGTCTAGTACCCCCTACTCTAGCACTCTGGACATTTGCACACTCGCAAGTAACAACTTACTGCAGTTTTTCAGTGTTCGGTGCTCAGATGCCAGATGGTCGAAATTTCAAATCCACCTGAATACTAGTAACTTCCGCATCATACCGGGGGATGTTGCTTTGTATTGGGAGCGATAGGGTCCACTGCGAGTGAGAAAGTGAGCAATGCTCTCTCCGCTGAAATCATGACTCCGAGGCTCCGCTGGGGCGAAATGTCACCGGCAACAATGCCGATGAACACAGTACTGTGCCTGCTACAGCAGCCATGCCAGGATCGAGGAATAGGGTGTCGCAAACTGAAAGCGTTTTGGATACCTGACGGTGCTGCTGTAGTAGCCCTGGATCTTCACGCCACGGTCATGGGCAACGGTTGATCACAGGCATGCTGCCCAGGGATCTACACGGAGTCGTCGTATGGTTTGGGTGGGTGCTCCCTGGCCTGATCCTGCAGGTGTGTCAGTCAACTATGCTAAAACTTGCCACGAACCCGCATTGGAACAGGACGCCAAGCTCTTCCATCTTCCACCGTGAGTGAACAAAGACCACACTACCAAAGACACCCGTACCCGTTCGGTCTGGGTGCATCAATGCAGACTCTACTCTCGACCTAGCGCATCCCTAAATGGCACCGGAGCTCTGCATGTGGAGCTTGTAGGGGCACCCTGAGCAATCTCGGGGCCCTTTCTGTCGTGTGATGGAGCCTGGAGAATACGTTGTGAGACTTGCCCACTCACCCCACCGTTAGGCGCTGCATCTGCCGCTAGGGTTTATCGGGTGTTAGCGGCCGTCGTGAGTTCCCTTCGGGAACGGATACGATAATTTACTTTTACTTTACAAGGCACAATGATAGTAAGGGCGAATGGACGAGCCGCATTTAGAAAAGAAAGGAGTGTGATGAGTCAGCAGATTATTACGAAAGAAGAGGGATCTGCCAGAGGAGTCAAGGGAGCATCAGAGGTGGCAGGGTGGTCAAGGAGAGCTAGGGGGCGGCGGGTTTGTCACAGCAAAATGACTGTACAGATCCTTGGCTTTACTTAGATTGTAATGTACATGTTTCGGCCAAATGGCCTAGGGATCGCACTTATTATCGGATATACACAGTGAGGGCTGCGTCCTACCCGCCTGTGTGGATTCACAGGGAGTGTGAGCTACGAAGTCTGAAGAAAATGTTGAACAGTCTCTGCTGGGATGACGACTACACCATAGCTCAGTGGTTAGAGCATCGCTGGATACAAGCAAGGGTCCCTGGTTCGAGTCCTGGTGGTGACAGTCAATTTTTCTTCAGACTTTTCCCGTTTGTGTCTTTCCCTTAAACCTGTGAAGATACTAAAGTATCCGTACTCGTTCTTTACGACTTTAGGATCGTGGACGCCAGTCACGTGTTCCGATGGGGACTACACAGTGCTGCCACTCAGGCCTGCGTCTTGCACAACCGTTTGCAGCCCAGTGTTCGCAAGTCTAGGGCTGCACAGCGACCGGCGTGTACTTGCAATCATGAGTGACGCGACTGGATTTCATTGCGCAGCACTGTACATCGGTTAAACACCGTGGTTGGCTATCACCTTTCATTTCACAGTCATTGCCTTTGACGGTCGCTTGACGAGCCACGACATGTTGAATAAATACAAATACAAACATAAACAACGGATCGAAAGAGTGCGTAGCTGTAACCAACTAACTTCAAGTAAGTTAGTTTCACGCATTCCAGCGATCATCAGGCAGCGACATTCCCAAACTTCGGATATATTAAAAGTACCAATAATTTCAAAATGTTTGTGTCCCCTGGACGTATGTTACCCTGAAGTAACTAGTTTCTGAGTAGGAGCATTGGTACTGAAGTAGTTACTAATACTGATTGTCTGGCGCTACGGCTAACTGGGATATATTTAGTCCAACAGCGCACCATCGCGTGGTTTGAGCAACATCGTTCGATCACTTGAGCCTGTTTTATCCAACCGTTGTTCCTTGGCTTGGCCGCGGCCTGCGATTAGGTGGTTTCCCTGAGGGTCACTAGCGCTTGACGCCTTCCTTCAAACGAGAATGACTTCCTCTGGGAGGGTGCGATAGCTAGTGAGTACATGCGTCCTCTTCCGCCCAGCTTCCGTCCACGCACGCACTGCAGAGGCGCTGATTGTCTCCGAGTATGTGTGTGTGTGTGCCATGGTGAAGTAACAGTTAGTTGGCGGGTCTAGGAGATCTGCGTCAAACATGGTCCAACGCGGAGCGGAAACTTCACCCGCAGTCGACACAAGCTACTCACAAGCCAGGATGGCTGAAGCCAAGGTAGCGGAAAGCCAAACCTAAAACCACGTCATCGATCAAGCTGTAATTAAACTATTGCTTGCTTGAACAGTTGAAGTATTGTTTCACCCTATCGTAGAGCGTCGCGTTGCCGACATATCATGGCATTGTAAAACACAAGTCGTAGAGTCTGCGCTGCATGCACTACTATTTACAGCATCTGTCATTTCCACACACAATTCTGCACACTTTCTCTCTTCCCATGTACTACGTTCCTGGCACGTACACAACATACTAAATAGGAGCCCCCTTCCCCGATAGGCTAACGTTAGCCTTTGTTTCCTGGAATAAAGATCGCGATTATAGATGGCCACGACAAACTCACTTCCCGAAAATTAATATTATTGAACAGTCGCCTTGCCGCAGCGACATGCATTGCAGTGTGGGCCTCCTATTGAAAACAAGTGCAAGATCACTGGAGTGCAGCTAGCTAGCTGTCGACATGTCCCGGAGCGAACGCCACACGGGTCCAGAGAAAGTTTGGCATACCGTCATTTTGACGGTGTTTGGATGAACAGGTCGAAGCCGTATTAGTGACTGTTATTAGTTGGCCACCCAAAACAGTTTTCATTGCCACTTCGGAAGCCGAAAACGTTCCTGCCGGCCAAAGAAAAAGGTTGTTTTTAAGGTCTCCAATAAGTTTTTTTCGGTTGAGCAGCACGAGAACTTCACTGAGAAGGCCCGAACCCACCAGATAACGGGAGCTGAAATTATTTTCTGTTCGGCTAGCAAATCTGCGCTACGAGTTTCCAAGCTTCTCTTCGACTTCGAGCTGCCTTGAAAAGATGGTTGGGTTCCTACGCCGCTATGCAACCGATCGCAAGTTCGCAACTCGACTCAGGCACGTGCTAAAGTTCACACCTTTCACAAAAACGAAGACTTAACATTCTATCCACCAGTTCATGCTGCACCACCCGAGCACCCATGACCAGATGACTGAACTGGAACTCAGTCAGGCCTGCAAGGTACCAGATCGAGCAGAGAACAGAGAGTGAAACCCTGGTCACACTAAAACACATCGACCGGCGAGGAACGCGGCGAAAGCCAGCACGGCAATAGTATACCACGAACGCAGCTTTGCAGTGAAGAGTGCGGTGCGAAATACCGATTGCAAGCAGAGCTAGCTCTGTCAGTGGCAAAGTGGGACAATGAGCAGAGAAGCCCGTGGATCTGTGCGTACACATCCAAAACGCTGAGATGTCTATTTCTTTGACTCTTGTAACGAAAACCAGCCGCTGTATGTTACTTACTCGTACCTTTCCACACATTTTCATGTGCGAGTGTGACACGTGAAGTGCCACATGCCTGAGAATACCGGTGCCTGCGAAATGCACTCTTGCGAAGACAACATAGTTGCGTGCTCGTGCACGGATGCCGTACTCAATGGCATCGTGGAGCATGCCGCAGATTATTCTTATTGTGAATACTGTACTTGGATACTGGATGACTATGCTCTTTACATTTTGTACGGGCTGTGTTTAATTATCACTACTAGACACTAGACTCAATGGCACGCCACTGTCCCCGTGCCATGGCCACAGTGCACCAGTACAGCAGAGCTAGAGAGCGTACAGTAAGCAAATGTTTTGCGCGTCTGCATAGAAAACCACCCAGGGGAAGACGTTGGAAACCTAGGGAAATGCATGCCCAAGTACACTTCAAGCAGACAAGCACGACTTACGACTACTTTCATAATGGAGTCTGCGAGTGCTTAGAAAAAATGTAAAAAAGAATATAAAAAAAGAAAGATGTTGATAGACTAGAAGAAAATGGGCGACAGAGTGCCTCGCTCGCTGGCTGCAGAAGAACCGCTGACAGGGAGATCCTTGCCCAACTAGTCATGACTCATGACAATTTTTAAACGAACCAATTAAAAATCAGTGCTTACCCGAAGCCTATGCCTATGGTCCTCAGCTGCTATCTGGTCCACAAAAGGGCTCAGGTACGAAGTCCTCAGCTGTGCAAAATGGCTAACAGTAACAAGGATTGGGGGTTCGCACGCCCTCCGCAATCCCTTACTCGCTTCGCGCAAGACCTGAAGACGCGCAAAGCCTTTCGACAACCAAGAGAAAGTGTCTCTGTCCTCGTTGCGACCTGCGCAATGGTTGAAGCACCACAAGGAACTATTGCGTGTTGCGGAGTATCATTCTGGGGTATAGTGGCATGAGCCGTGTAGCTCAACCAATCCTGAGCCTTGCACAAACTAACTGTTTCTTCACACTTCCACCGCTTGAGTATAGATGACCAAATACTACAGTCTAATCGCGCAGAAGCCACGCTTGCAAGGCCAGGCGCAAGACGGCCAAGGGTGGGAACGTCTGCGGACTGTTACGTGTTTGCTTCCCTCCACGCGATACGGTGACGACTTGCGTGATCTTAGCTGCTATGCTCCGCACTCAGCGCAGCACGCTCGTACACGGCTAAGTAAAACTACCTTACTTACAAGGCTATAATTCTTATGACCAGTCAGCACCACTACACAAAGGGCGATACTTAGAAGGCGTTCACACCCGAAGTGTCTAGAAAATAGGGCTCCACCGCATTATGCGCGCTTCAGTCACCAGTTCAACACGTCTGCAGTGCACTAGTGCAGTGTCGCAACCACCTGAACACGATCGACGGATGCACGCAGGTCATACAGCAGGTGTATCCCGTCAGTTGGCAGTTGCTCACTCCTTGGCCGTCCTGCGTGCAACTACAGCTCGCTGTCAGCTCCGTCTAATCGGCCCAGTGTAACTAGCTGCGTCGGGCCCCGGTACAAGTAAGGACCCGGTTGGGGCTCAGCTCAAGTCTACTGAGCAGACCTACAACTAATACTTACAAGTACAAGTCATGACTGTAGAATCTACATGATTGTACCAGTAGGTGCCTATGCATTTGAATAACCAACAGCCAACGATGTTACGTCCGCTACAGCCATAGCATAGGCTTCACACGCCTTCAGTCTTCCATCTGCTCTTGGATGTACCGAAGAAGCAATCCCGGCTGCAGCCGTCGATCGATAGGTAGATCTACGTCGTTACTAAAATACTACAACACAAGTTGCTAATAATACAGCGCATGTAGACACGACCTCTGCCACAACTACAACCAGCACATCACTTTGCTGCGCTTATCTTATCGTGCTGCTGCTTGCTAAAGGCTGACACCAGTACTAGTTGAAGCCTTCTGTAAAAAAAAATATCGTGTCCGTTCCAGAAGGGAACTCACGACGGCCGCTAACACCCGATAAACCCAGCCTTCTGTGTACGCTGCAACAAAATCTAACTACCTACATACATGTATACTTGCTCGCGGTCACACACTCTGAATTATAGCAATAAAAACTGCTTTATGGCAGCTTTCTAAAAAAAATTTACTGTGTTCTAGTCCTGGGTCCTTCCCCTATAGAAAATCTAATAAAATTGCTTCCAAACTGCCGCACTCCATCTAAAAAGTAAGAAATTAACGAAATGTGATTGACGAAAATTAAAATTTCACACAAAACCTCGCAATAATCACACGCAGGATGAAAAGCGAGAAGACCTTTTCCCCTCATGATTCTATTTCCCATGCATGCATGTTGGTGCAGTTTGTGTCAGACTAACAAGTGTTGAAAGCAGTATTTGATTGTTTTGTGTGAAATTTTAATTTTCAGCAATCACATGAACCTGGATTGGCGCTAACATGTCGCCTCAATAACTATTACTTCGAAGTTCAGATATCGAGTGCACCTACTGTCAATAATGTCCGAGCAACTTACGCCTTCGGCAATGATCATACTGTACAAAGGGTTCGTAAGACCTGTGATCGAATATAGCTGTACGGTGTGGTCGTTTGGATCTAATAAGAAACCCACGACCGCTCTTGATCAATTACAGGCAAGGTTTGCTAGAGCTCAACTGAAAAGAAAAAATTGCATTTGATTACACTTCTTCCAAATCTGTCTTAAAATTCTAAATGCTCCCTAGAGTCACTAGCCTGTCGTCGTCAAATCATCAGTCTCACTACTTTTCACAGATATGTTTTCCATCATCGTGATTACCTTGCTGATTTCCATTTCAAGATTACGAATACTGAGCGACGATCAAATAAGATCATTCTTCCCAAATTTAAATCATTGTCTAAGTCTCTCTTCATATTCCGAACTGCTATTCTCTGGAACTGTTTACCCCCCAGTCTAACATCGGAAGCCTCGCTCTACAAGTTCAAAGCTGCCCTCAGGAAATTTACAGCTGACCATGCTTATGCAATCAACGGAATTCCGCCACCTTGCAGTTGATTTTCCCCATTCCTCTCCTCATCAATCCATACGTGTCATTGTACATACATCTACATCTACTGTTCTTTCAATCAAATGAACCCCTCGATAGACACATTGCCTTTGGGTCATTTCATAATAATAATAATAATAATAATAATAAATAAATAACCGACGAGGAGACAACAGTCGTAAAATAGCAATGAAAAATATCAAATGTGCACTCATAACCATGTGAAACTCGGATGTTGAGCCATAAATAAAATGTAGAAAGGAAAAGGACATATGGATACGAGTTAAGAGTAACTCTCCATCTCTGTAACTGGATACTATATACATGTACAGTCAGAAATTGCAATAACTAGGCACAAAACTGACAACCATGTATAAACAAAAAAACGAAACAATTCCAGAACGTTTTTGTGTGACCATCATCAGTGGAACATCGTCACATAGTAAGAATCACTAAAACAACCAGTTATATAGCTAGAGTAACATGAAAAGATCAAAAGAAGCGTGCTCAGGTATAATAAGTAGGGCTGAAACGATCGTGGATTTTCATGTATCGATTACTCTTTAGCTTAATGATCGAGTAATCGATTATAATCGTTAGCAAATAGAGTCATAATTCTGTGCAAACATTACTCTGTTTCCACAAACTATGCCTTCATGATACCAACAAATCTGCATTAGTGAAAGGGTAGCTCCGAAACATGGCAGTTTTGAAGTCAATTTAACCTCAGAACATGAACCATACCCCTGGCAACTGCATACTCCCAGCGGAAACTGATTCAAACTTCACAAAACGAGGGTTTACAGTACTTTCTGGACACAAATTTAAAAAACGCAAAATAATCGTAATCGGTAATCTAAACGATTGCTCGATCGTTAGAGTTATCAAACGAGTACTCGATTATTCGGTATAATCGTTTCAGCCCTAATAATAAGGTGATCATGTGTGTACAAAACTTGTATTGGTAATAACGTTGGCGTACATTAATATTTTTCAACCAAATTTTCTGTGGTGATACATTGGGTTAGTTGTCATCGATTTCCAATATCAAATTTAAATTATGAGCTGAATGACGTCATCAGTGCTACTTTTTATGTTCAGATTTCAACCCAAAACGCGGAGAAAACGAAAAATAGTAAGGCCACAAATCCTGGTGAACTGGATAGCCTTTGGGCCCTAGATAAAGGATATTGGTGGATATTGTACATAGATAACAACATTTCGCTGGAAACCAGTATCGACTTGTTTCACCATACGCACTGTACACATTTAGTATACGAAGCTGTCGTACCTCGGGGTCTGTTCAGACTCACCACCGCGACGAACGGGTGTTTAGTATCGATATCCAGCACATTCCCGCTTGCTGGGATGTACAGCTAGCCAATGCAACAGCTCTCATTCGCCAAAGACATTCCCCACGCTCCGCGTTTATGGATGAAACTGTCATTGCCGTTTCAAAATAGCCGACATTGTCTCTTACACATAAATGACTGCGCTGTACATGTAGTGCATCACACCAGCAATCTGCTGTAGATCTACAGACAGTGCATGCAGCGAGCCGAGCATGCGCACTTGAGTAGGGTACTTGACTCCCACGCGCGCGCGATCGCTGGTCACAACTGTGAACTGAGTCTGTACTGTACACGCGACTGTGCTCGTGTCGTTGTGACTTGCAAGTGCACTCTGTACTGCACTGATGTACTGTATGACTAGTTGACTGGACAGGAACAATGCAAGTGCAGTTTTCAGTGCGTGGACTCGGCTACTAAAACATTTTGTGGAAGCAAACAAGCCTTCTTTATGATCTTGGTCATTTTTCTCAATCGACTCTGCGCTTCCAGCTAGATGTGTCCGTGGGGTATTGCCCAACTAGAACTGTAGTCCTCACATGCCCCAGGTCGCGAGGAGCTAATCACTTTTGTCAGCAGAACTCCTGCTCGGGACTCGACACATTTATTCCGTCCGATGTCATCCCCGCTGCGAGTGGGGAGCTTCATGCCCACAATAAAAGAGAACGTCATGACAATTTTCTCAATCGACTCTGCGCTTCCAGCTAGATGTGTCCGTGGGGTATTGCCCAACTAGAACTGTAGTCCTCACATGCCCCAGGTCGCGAGGAGCTAATCACTTTTTGTCAGCAGAACTCCTGCTCGGGACTCGACACATTTATTCCGTCCGATGTCATCTCCGCTGCGAGTGGGGAGCTTCATGCCCACGATAAAATAGAGAACGTCATAATATTTGAATCCTTCATCAGAGAAAGCTATTCGAGCTCAAAACGACACAAGACAATGGCCATGATAAAGATACTCGTACAGATCGCGATGTGACTGGCCTCCAAAAGTGCTGCAAAAGACTTGAAGTATTTTTCAAAACAAGATTGTGAAAAAAAGGTGAGCGCTCGAGTGCGGCGAACACGGCCAAACGCCATGTTTTCCTTGGTAACATGACGTCAGCCACTATCACCATGGCGAGTTGCAGCGCTGATCTTGAAGTACAGCGGCACCAGAAAAGTGTCCTTATTTTACCTGAGTGAGAATGCAGCACAGCTAGCGGTAATGCAAACGCGTGTAGTGTGAACCTTTGCAGTGTATCTGAGAATGGTAGCAGTAGATGAATGTGGCAGCTGTGAGTGCGTGTGGACAAAAACTGGTGAGTGCGTATTATTCAAAAAGTGTGAGTGCTTATGCGTTGTGCATTACCGCTAGCTGTGCTGCATTCTCACGCTTCTTTTCATGTTACTCTAGCTATATAACTGGTTGTTTTAGTGATTCTTACTATGTGACGATGTTCCACTGATGATGGTCACACGAAAACGTTCTGGAATTGTTTCATTTTAATTGTTTATACATGGTTATGAGTGCACATTTGATATTTTTCATTGCTATAATAATAAATAAATAATACAAATAATTTTAATATAGCTATGAATAGGATGAAGGCCGCAGACATCACGCAACTACGTTACTTGTTTGACATGTATTACTGTGTATTTTATAACAAAAATATTATTGAAAACCCAGAATCGATTTTCTCGTTCCTATCATCAGTGGGAAAAAACGGAACTAAGGATACAACC